TTCTTTTCGTACCCAAGCAAAAACGACCCAATTTTTTTGGGTTATTTATCTAGATTCAGCTCCACGTACATCTAGATGCACGTGGACCTGAATCTAGATAAATAACACAAAAAATTGGGTCGTTTTTGCTTGGGTATTAATTACACACATGTACATTTTATAGAACTTCATATTTTTGTATATCTTCTCGCTTTCCGAAGAAAATTTTACCACGACAAACTTAAATAAAAAATCTTTTACCGTTATCGCTCGTTACTACGTAGTGGATACATGCGTTTTATGTATACGACGAAAATAAGCGGTTGACGACATCCATAGTTATGAGTTTGGGATATCCTGTCTTCATAAATTCGGTTTGATAAACCACACACTTATGAAACTTGTAAAAAGTTTCATAAAATATTTCATTTTTATGTAACTTCTGGGTTAAAAGATTTAACTTCCAAGTTTCATAAATGTGTGATTTATGTTGTTTCAGGTTCAATTAATTAGTTCCTTTATTAATTGTAGTATTAATATGAGATATAACATTATATAATCTGTATATGTCGTGTAGAGACGTGTGTTGGTGGTGTTTTAATTGAAAATAATTATTTATTTAATGAAAAACAGTATCAGTGTGTCTTTAGATGTTATGTGAGGCTCGTAGAGACACGATGATTCAACCAAATAGAGATGTTAATATCTCACCAAGATAGGTATGAGATACTTAGAGATATTGACTGATTTCAATAAAAATATGGAATTTTATTTTAAAACTGTATATACAAGTCTGTGACTGAGATCTAAGTCCTTCAGAGACATATACTTACGCGTACAAAAATCGATATTTTTATTCTAACAGGGCTATGAATAAGTCTCCAAGAGCGTCTCTTCAAAACATGTCTAAACTCTTTTAAACGAATAAAAAGTTCGTGAATCGTGAAAGTGTAGAAGGTAAATTCAAGCGTGTATTAGAAAAACATGATGAGAAAGTAGAAGAACAGCTTTCAAAAAAGATAAAATAGAGACGGCAAGAAAAATTGTTTATTTTTTAAATATTTTTATATTACTGGTGATTTTTGACATAAAAAGCCTCCTCCATCACTACACAATACTCAGCGTACACAGATCCTTCAAATGAAAAACTATATTCGCCAGAACCATTCATTAATGTAATCGAAGATGAAATTGAATAAAAAAAGATAGATGCAGTGTTCAAAAAACATATTTTGCTTTATGAATGTAAAAAATATTTTTTGTTGAATAGTAATAAACGTTAATATAGTTATTAGTTTAAAGTGTGACTGTCGCTGTGCGTCTACTTCCTTAAATTGAGGAGTTTTTTAAAAACGCGTTTATGACCATCATAACTTTTTAAAAACCCATTTTCAGTCGCAATTGACTTCAAGACTCTCGAACGTCACCGAATTTTTCGCGTTTAGAACTCAATTGAAATGAATTTAACGCGTTTTGGCTAAAAATAAAATTTGAAAAACGCGTTTCGCTTTTTCAAAATTTATAAGATAGTTCCTTGGACACGTAAAATTCGTTTCGTAGACTGAAGTCGCTAAATTAGGCATTTCTATAACAAATAATGAGTGAAAAACGCGTTTTTAACGCAATACACCGCGACAAAAGCGAGATTGGCTCAAGAACCGCAAAAAACGAATTTTCTGTAAAAAGCGCCAGTTTAGCTTTAAAGTATCGCGCGACACTCTGTTTTCGAAGTTTAGCGCGTTTAACGCAACCTATGATTACGTCAAACGCGATTCTGGCGCTTTTTTTTCAAAAGAATTTCTCGCGGTAAATTTTTCGTACACAGAGTTTCGTGGGATATTTTGAAGCTAAACTCGCGTTTTTCCGCGCTTTTTCAAGATGACTATGACTGACTGAGTACTTATTTCGGAGTAGAAATATTTTCAGGAATTTCTGAGACTGTCATTGGGTTCCTCGCAAAAATTTGCTTCGGGAAACTTAGCTTTTAACTATATCAGATATACTATAGCAACTCTGGGTTTCTTCTATATAAATTTTGGCTACATCATCGATACAACGCGACAAACGCAAGATTGGCTCAAGTGCCGCGAAAAAACGAAATTTTTAAAAAAGGCGCTAAAAAACGTGAGTTTAGCTTTAAAGTATCGCGCGAAACTCTGTCTACCAAAAATTTAGCGCATTTAACGCAATCTATGATTACCTCAAAGCGCGATTATAGCGCATTTTTTTTAAACGAATTTCTCACGACAAATTTTTCGTAAACAGAGTTTCGTGAGATATTTTGAAGCTAAAACTACTCATTCAGTCACCCATACGTTTTGAAAATTCGTTTTAATGCTGTTTTAGCATTCGTAGAGCGCGAGAATATACAGTTTCATCAGGAATACGGCGAATTTCTGGAGCTTTAAATACACGCCTTAATCAAAACCGCGTTTCTGCCATCAATAATTCGCGAGAAACGCGTTTATGACCGTAATAAATTCTTAAAAACGCGTTACGCCACTATATATCATTCGATAGCGTTCCTAGCATTCCAAGCGATAAACAGCGTTCATCGTTTTAACCGTATGAAAATAAATTCAGTCGCGTTAATGCCGTTTTCGACCTGTATCGTATTTTCTATCCCAGGCTTTGAGACAACATCGTGGAAACTTCGCCACCATCTCATTTTATGGAGAATTCACGAGGCCATCGAGTAATCTGGTTGAAAAGCTTTTGAGAGAAATTTTAAGATCACTACGTTTTCTAGAAAACCGGGTTTTTCAGAAATCTCTATCTCAAGACTCGGATGTATAGCATAACGTTTCTCCATCGAAATATATAGAACTCGACGCGCTCTTTCATTTGACACCAACTTCAAGGTTCTACGTTACAGAATGTGATCAGCAAACGTTTTACAAGTTAGGCCAAATTCGCCGGGAAATGACGAAAATGCATTTTTCAGCTGCGAGGGTAAAATGACTATAACTGTCTTTCTAACAAAGCTAGAGACTTGGGGTTTTCACCATTCGGTTCAGCTTGCTGAGCTCTATAATACGAGATAGCTCGCATCACTAACGTGAAAGGTTGATGTAAATGGTGGTCGGTTTTGTATGGATTTAGCCTATCCGTCGACGCCGAAAACATCACTCTACAGTAGTATTTCTAGTATTAGGGCACCCTCGCCCCATTTGTTCTCAACATTATGTATATATCACTTTGTAGCCCACGAAATTCTGTATCGAATGATGTACAGCAGTTGAGGTTTGCTTTGAGCAAACAGATGAAATAGGGAAAATATTCGAAATAAAATTCATTTAAGAGGAGAAAAGTTTGGATGCGGAATTTTATCCAGGGGGCTGAAAATGGCTTTTTTCAGATGCTAATTTTAATCACGGGGAAAAATTACATCGGACTTGTGAATATGAGCTTGATCTGAGAGGGGACCGATTTTGCCTCTTATCGACAAACGCGAGATTGGCTCAAGAACCGCAAAAAAACGAATTATGCTGTAAAAAGCGCGAAAAGCGCGAAAAACGCGAGTTTAGCTTTGAAGTATCGCGCGTCACTCTGTTTTCGAAAAATTTAGCGCGTTTAACGCAACGTATAATCACATCAAACACGTTTCTGACGCTTTTTTTCAAAAGAATTTCTCGCGGTAAATTTTTCGTACACTGAGTTTCGTGAGATATTTTGAAGCTAAAACGGCGTTAAAACGAATTTTCAAAACATCTAGGTGACTGACTGGGCAGAATCCTATACGCTGCTCAGAGACATATTTCTATATACTACTGTAGCAGCGCTCTTAGAGACATATGCAGTTACCTTAACTGATCATCAATTAAACCAATTAATTAACAACAATAGGTCTGTAAGAGACATGTTCTAGTTAATTAAGAAAATATTTCTCTGAGAACCATAAACTTTTTATGAAACTTATATTTCATTTTTATGTAAGTTCTGGGTAAAAAAATTCAACATCCAAGTTTTCTAAATTTTTTCTCAATAAATATAAATTGTATCATAAATATGTGATTTATGTAGACAGGATAATGCATAAGTTTTTCTCTCATATTTTCTTCTATAAATATCAATTTCTACTATTTTTCCTTCAGTTATTTAGTTCACAATTTTCACGCCTGCTGGCATTCTCTACAAGTTTTTACATTTACGTATTTTATTCTATGATTTCTTCTTTACAATTTGACACTTACGCCTTTTCTCGTTGGTTTTTCACTTTTATACTTATGGCTCTCGATTACAGGCTTTATTATAAGTGTGATGCTTACATTTTTTATTCACATGTAGAAGTAATAAAATAGACACTTACCAATAGCCCAAGCTAAACTTTGTGTAACACATGTTGATAAAATAATTAAGATAATCCGATTTCGTTGTTGATGGGAAATTTTGTCTATAAACACGTTTATAAAGATTCACCATTATGAATATTAACATTGTTAAATTAATAATAAAAAATATTAAAATTGGTAGTGTTAAATAGAAAATTAGAACATCTGGTTGAAACCAACATATTTTATATGGATATAATTGGATTACATTAGAAATGAATAATGGACAAAGACTAATCATTCCAATTAAAAATGAAATGAATAATAATAGATAAAATAATCGAGATGATGTTTGATTCAATGGTCGATTAAAACGTAAATAATTTGTATAACTAACTGAAGTTTTTAAACAAAATGAAAATATAATCAAAAAATAAACAATATACATTAGAATTTTTGTTTGAGAAGAACATACATTGCTGTCTGGCGATGATGTATTTAAATGAACATAAGTAGTCAGTATAAGATAAAATATAAATAAAATACATGTACTACCACATGAAGCTAGAGGAGTTAAATCATAGAGATGAAGTTGATATTTATGAATATATTTTGTAATTGCTGAATGAAGAATAATAATAATGAAACATACAATTGAAAATGATTGAAAAATAATTGATATAATATCAGCAGCACGATATTTTGAATTTGCTAAACATAATAAATAATTAGATGATAATCATATCATGCATGATGTGAAAAGACCTTTCTCGTGCCCTTTTCCCAAGTCAGAAAAGATAATTTTCGTCAGAAATACCAGTTCTTGAGAAAAATACATGAAAATATAGTCCCAAATGTTCTCTTTCAAATGCACTAGTTTTTATTAGCCTAAAAATGTACTATAGTGGTTTCCCACGATGTTTTCTGGAAGTCCTATGAAAATGTGTATAGGATAACCCCCGCATAAGTGAAAACTACCACGGTCTTCTATTTTGGCGAGCAACTCAAGTCGATTTGTGCCTAAAAATCGTGGAGAGGTTTTAGGAAAAAATCGCCTGGTCTTCTATTGTAAAGGGCGAGTATTTAGAAAAACGCTCTATACACATATATGGCTCATATGTGAACTTATGCTACGATATATGCTCCATTTCGACTCTTGTTCCTGGAACATTAATTGAACTAAGGTGGATAGAGCCATCGAACTGTTCCTGTCGCTACGTTTTGACATGGCCAACATTCGCTGAGCGTTTTGTCAAGATAGGACTTACAATTACCGAGATCGAGAAGGAGGGTTTAAAAAACAGTGCGGTATTTTTAAGAGAAGAATAAAACTTCAATCAGAAATATGTACGAGTGATTTGCGCGTGCGCTTGGATATTTGTAAAATACACGAACACTCACTAACTACCATCCGAAAACGACACGAACTAAAAACTACTTGACTCTCAATATTGGATTACACTTATACTAACTTAATTGTAAAGTTAGAGAGGTGCTGACATCTTTTTTGGAATGTTAGCACGTGTTGGTGGGTATTACTGGCTATGCTTCAGCTAAGTAATCATTGTTAGGTATTTTTATCTGAATATTATTGAATGTTAGTATAATGAACTCAACGAGCTCTATATGTTGGCTGCATCAGCTTACACATCCAAACCATTAGTAACAGTAAATAAACTCATTTTCAGCTTTTTCCATTCAAAGTTAAAAGATTCGTGGCTTACTCTAATTTTAATTCGACATGTCAAACTTAAAAAAAGACTATTTTAGTCGCTTCAGATGGTGACACAATTCAAGATACAAAAAGAATCTCTGACTATTGTTAGTTCAAAGTCTCACCGAAAATTTGACAATCTTCTTTGAGAATTCGTCAAGAATTTTCGTCTGAGTAGATATGGATCAATCCGGACCACTAAAAATTTGTTTTACTAGAAAAATCTTTTGCTCACATGAAAAGGCTCCCTTGGCACTGCAATTGAGTCAGATGAGAGACACTATTATAGTAAGAAAATCAATATCATTTTCAGAGTTTTGATGAAATTTCTCAAATATATCTTTTCTGACTGAAAAATCAATCAATTACTCAAGTAATGTTCAAATTTCTTTTCTCTAAGTTAAAGAAAACAACATGAGAAGCAGAGAACAATATCTTTATACCTTGTTGTGTTACTGTTAAAGGTAAAAATAGCATGGCAAATGTAGTCATATGATTACAAGAACATTCATGTATATTTAGAATTGAATTAAATCCTTTGTATATACAAATATTACGGTTATCATTCCATTTTGAGTTATTCCAATAAACACAAGTATAGGTATAATTACCATTAAATGGATAATGAAATAAAACTGTAAAATAGAGTGTTAGATTAATATGAACTGTTGTTGGTTGGGTAACAATAACAATAATGGATGATGCTAACAGATTATTGTTCGTATAGTTTAAATAATTCAACGGTCGATAAACAATCATTATTGTTAACAAATCAACTGCATCATTATCTGTACTATGAATAAAAACGGCAGCGGTTACATTTTTATCTAAATCTATACTAGATAAAAGGTGACCATTTTCATTTGACATTGAATCATAAGTAAAAGAAGCACCAAACCCAATCAATGTTGACAGTTTTAACGTTATCAGATATAAATAACGGTAATTATATGTCAGTTCTTTATTGATAAATCTTTCAATTATTTCATCAATTCTAGTTGGTGATATAAATACTAAATCTGATGAATTTCTATCGATGTTTGCGAGTGCTGTAAAATAATCCAGTAAAGCATTCGCATAATCATCCGCTGTTAATGTTTCATTATCCAAATTTAATAAATGATAGGATTTATACTGAATAAAAATATAAAAGAATATCATTCATGTTTAATAAAACATTTCATTATATTTACAGTAGTGAACGCCTTGGTTACATTTTGCTCTATACAAAAGTTTATAAACTAAAACGTATCTAGTTTGTAGAAAATATTGAGTTACATATACTCAAGAAAATATAAAAATAAGCGAGAGAACTGCAACTATTCACACTACGATTAGACTATGCAGATATACCCTAGACAAAATCCTATACACTTCTTATCTGTTTCTTACCAGGATCCTATTATGATCGGTGTAGGATCCTAATAATTTTCTAGCAGGATCTGAGATGTTAGACTCCTACCAGGAATCAGGAGCAGATCCTAACATTCAAGATCCTGCCAGAATTTTGTTTCTTAATGAATAAGAATAGTTCATCGCAGGTTGAAGTAATAAATGTATACGCATCAATTTTAAATGTGCTTTAGAGCTACAAAGAAATGTTTGGTAACTTTTGGTCAAATAACGAGAAGGGATGGAGAAATTTCACAAGAGATAGAAACATATAAGCAATCCTTTGAAATTCCTGTTCAAGAATTATCTTTTTCTACTAAAAATTCTAAATAATTCTTGCTACATTATGATTCAGTCATCGCATTCTTGTTAGGATCTTACCAGAATCCTAGCAAATCCTACGACTTTTCGGTATACCTGATTTCTGTAGGATTCTGTAAGATTTTCCTAGGATCCTACCAAAAAGCCAGTTAAATCTAAGCAAGCGCCCGATCGGATTTCTCAAGGATCTTGTCAAGAAATGTATAGGTTTCTTACTAGCGTAATGAAGATTATCTTTAATAACAATTATAATTTGATCGTGGTTGCATCCTTTCACGTCAAACTGCGACGTTTTTAATCATGATGAAAAACATTTGATCCCTGACTTCGATATGTCTGATCTAATGCCGCTAACGAACTTTCCTTATATGTTCTGATCTAATATCTTTCTTTTTGTGTTATCCTAATATTTAAAAAAATGATAATCCAAGATTCTGTGATAACAATATCGTAAATCTAACTGTCTGTATTCTATAATTTAATCTGCCTGAATTTGTTTTCTTCTTTTACTGTATGGTGCACTGATAGGATCTCAGCAAGATCACCAGTTTAATTTGCGTGGGTCACCCACCAGTTTAAATAACGGATGTGATGACAAAAACGAATCAATAGTAGCCACTGTTTTCACGATGACGTAGCGAGTCAAATTCTAAGTCTAAACAGGATCTCAATTAACCTTGTAGTAACGTTCAGTGGAACATAAAACACTCTCGTGTTGGTTAAGATCACCTTGATACTCACTTCTTGTCAGTTAACACATCGAAAGGTCTCTCATCCTTCCTACCCACTAACTTATATGATCATAATAGACTTAGCGTATCTCTACGTATTTGTACAAACTGTCATAAGTCTTTGCTATAATTGTAATACGTTCCCTCTCTTCTGTGCCTCCTTCATTTTACTCTGTTCTGTCAATGTAAAATAAAAATATAAAATAAATAATAAAAATATGCCTTTTTTTCTTGTGATATTGAAAAAATACTAAAAGTTCTGTATAAAAAAACGGTTTTTGATTTTAAAAGCTTCTTACACCGAAATTTGTAATCAAAAACGCTTAAAAGAACGTAGAACCCGAGATAGGGTCTAAAATATATGTGGGAAGAATTTCAGCTCGGTCAGACCAATTTTTTAGGGATCATAATGTGACTGGATTCAAATGATTACCGAAAAACGCTTACTGAGAAAAACAGTGCACATTTTTCAGGGTATTCGCGACGAAGCTTATATCTCCATGAAAACTCGTCAAAACGTTCTGAAAGACATCTCATTTTGAAGAACACACTTGCTTCTGTCAGACTATGTATGAGGAAAAATTTTGAATATACGAGAAAGGTGAAAAAAACTTATAAAGCTAAAAAATTGCGATTTTTCAAGCTTTCAAAGGAAAACTTTAAAAAAATCACAACTTTTTCGAGAAAGGTCGAGTAGAGCTTAGAGTGATCTCATTTTGTAGCCCAGACTTTCTTCCACATGAGGCTTTTTTTGCAAGAAAGAGGAGGCACCGGTAAGTGTATGGTCATGCCGTTTTCTGAGACAGAAAAACATTTGTCATTCTAAAAGAGATCTTTTCCGAAAACGCAAATAAATTTACGTATACACACTGTTTCTTCTACTGGTTGGAGGCATGTGTACAGGCTCAATGGTGAAAGTTCAGCACAGGAAAGACCATCGAAACTATTGATATTTCACAATTTGGGAGCAAAATTCGAAATGATGATTGTTGCAAAATGGTAAGAACAATACGAAGCAAATGATTATTTATAAACTCTGTAAAAAATTGTGTACAGATCACGTCTACAAATATAAAGCTAATTATGAGATTGAGATATAACTATTGAAATTTAGTTAACGCTCTAATAAGTGAATCAGTAAGTAAAAGAAATGAACGTTGCGATAAACGCTTGTTAAATATTATTTCTAATTCACATGCAAATGTTTTAAAACAACTTGATTCTATTGCAAGTAATACATCATTGTAATTCTTTTATTATTATTCATGTATGAAGAAAAGAGTGACAATCTTGAGAAAAATAATTAATACAAATGCCACTATGTTTTTTCATGGTGACCTCTCGAATGAGAACAATTTTCTTAATAATTTCTCAAGTGAGAACATTTATAAACCGTGCACTCTCGAAGGAGAACAGTTGTTTGTACATAATCTCAAATGAGAACAATTTGAAATTGTACACTCTAGAAGGAGAACAATATTTTATAATCTATCTCAAAGGAGAACATATTCAACTACTGTACTCTCGAATGAGAACAATTTATAAACTTATTCTTAAAGGAAAACATTTTCAAATAGTATACTCTCGAAGGAGATCAAATAGCCATTGCAATAGATGCTAACACGTAGTGATTTTGTTATTATAAAGAATATAAACAAAATACACATTCAAGCTTCTGTATCCAAAATTTCGTTGTTTAAAAGACCATCTGAACTATTATCTTCAGTCGCAAATGATAATGACATTTTTTTGTTTCTCGGTAATGCTTTGCAAAGTTCATCGCTTTTATAAGGTTGAACGTTCACCATATTGATCGTCTTACTATTCTTCAATTTTTTGAACTGCCTTATAGTAGTCTACACAGTCTTTTCAGCTGCTATGTCTGAACAGTCTCTTCAGCATTATTCTTTCTCTAGTTCAGAGCTTTAAGACGCTCCTTAATTATGCTTATGCTTTAACCTGTTATCTTCCAATTTATAACTATTCTCCTTTGAGAATATATATGACAAAAATGTTCTCCTTCAAGAGTGCACAGTTTCAAATCGTCGAGATGGCGTCTTTTTCATTCGTAGAGCTATGTTTTTTATATGAGAAATCATTTATCTATCAACGTGCTTTTTGTTTCGTAGTTTAAAACTTCAAGTTTAAAAGTTATCTCTTAATCTCATAAGTAGATTTATATTTGCAGACATGATCTATACATAATTCTATGTACAGTTTATAAACATATATTGTTTACATTGTACACAATATATTGTTCTTAATATTTTGCAAGAATCACAATTTTGACTTTTGTTGCCAAATTGTGAAATATCAGTACTTTGGCTGATCTTTCCTCATGCTGGAATATCCGCTTCCTGTACAGGTGCGATGCTGTGTGGTATTTTTGCATATTTTTCAGCTTATTTAAGATAAAGTTAAATTAAATTGGTTATTCGTTTTTAGGTATAATTAGTCCTTCGTAGATAGCTGAGGAATTATAAAAAATCGATAACTATAGAAAAGGATTCAAAATCTCATAAAATTGATTTAAATCGTACATGAATATAATCAGATACGCTTGAAATCTTAAAGTTTCCAAATAAATTATGCTTTACTTTTTTTTTATTTTAATCCATTCTACTTACGTTGGAATGAATTTAGCTAGATGATTGTCACAAAAAAGAACTTAAAAATATTGATACATACCAATGTGTCCTCAATCTTTGAACAATTTCCAATCAATGCTGAACACATTTCATACGTGTCATTTAAACAAATATCTAAAATAACAGACTCGTATGTCTTTGAATTTAAAATGGAATTATTTGCATCTAACTTACCTGGTTCCAATATTGTACTGAAAATAGAAATTTAATAATCATTTTACTATGTTCTGTGCAAGAACAATCATACATACCTTGTGATCAATAAATAATTGAAAACTACTCTTGCATTAGTTAGCAAGGGTTCTTTTGTCGGAAAAATACAGCATGAACTATTTGAATATGCATAAAATGTCATACTTAGTATCTTTGACCAATTTAATACGATCAATGTTTTTGTATATGCTGATAATGTTACAAATTTTGTACGTATTCTTATTTCATTGTTCACATTATAGGATCCAATAATTGTTAATTGTAAATAATTGTCTAATACAGATGTTGCTTGAAAAGAACTAATATCGTATGCTTTTCCATTATTGAATGAAAAGGATGCTGGTAGATTTGTTAGAATATAACCAACATATTGTGTTGAACTCGACCAATTATACACAGTATTTGGTAAATAGTTTGTATTGGTGTAAAAAAATTCGTCGGACCATTTTATAATATCATTGTAATGTCCATCTGACAGTTGACCTACAGATGGTATGAGCGACTTTGATTCATTAAAATCAACCACATGGTTGAGTGCTAAAAAGCAAACTCAGTGATAGTACTAATGTAGAATGTCAACACGAGATAAGCAACTACTATCCATTTCAAAATATTTTTCGCCATGGTATAGCCAAGACAGGAGTACGTCATAATATACAGAAACCAAACTTTTTTCGTGGATCTCTGGAAAACCGGCTTATAACTCCACAGTTTTATATAGAAACATATCAGTTTACGTATATGGATATTCCAAAGTGTCCTTTACAAAATCAGATCCAAGCGAATATGGGGAATCTAATAAGAGTCACGTCAGGTCTCTGGAGGATCTCTAGAAAACCTTTTTGAAGAAAGCGGCCTTGTAACCACAAACCTGAATATTCAATACGCGTAAGACATCTTGCGCTCATCCTGGAAGGAAGCGCGAACAATTTCGATTGGTCCGAGCAGTTAGCCAACCGCTATGCATGAGGATGATTCACTGCTGGGCGGTACACAGAGCAAGCTTTATGTAAGAACATTTTTTAAGAGTAGCTTTTGTCGCTTAAAAAAATTTTACTTTTTTTCAAAAATACCGAAAAATAATAAGAGAAAACTTTGGAAATAAAAGAACGCACGAGTTCTAGTTATTCAGAAAAACAGTCGGACTCTTCTGGCGAAGACGACGACCTGATGTTTCAAAAAACAGGTAGTATTGATTTCATTTCGAAAGATTTGTTAGATCATGTAAACGAAGTTATGGCATTTTGTAAACAAAACTGCAGTACAAAATGTTTAAGTGTTCTATTGTACATGTCATTGAGACATTTCAACATTCTATGTCATGACGTCGATGTTTTTCTAAGTGAAATTGGAGGGTACAGAGCTGCAACATGTCACAAGCAAACCGACAGATTGATCAACTACGGTTTTGAAAGATTTGCGGCTAATGCACGAGGTGGTAAACGTGGTGACGCAGTTTGAGGTCCGTATCCAGACATTGAGGAGGAAGCACGCGAATTTACTATTCAAGCTTGTACGAGAAAAGCTGCGTCATTTACGGTCGAACAACTAGCTCAGTTTATAGACAACAAATATTATGAAATTAATGGCTTACTAAAAGACGGTTCAGGCTATATTCGGTCTGTCCAGAGCTGTCGTCTTGATCTGAAAGCTTGGGGCATCAGCTATTCGACGAACAAAAGCCGCCCCTATTACTTAAGCCACGAGAGAACAGACGTTATTGAGCACCGTGAGCAAATAGTTAATTATTTTCTGTCCAGAGAGAAGTTTTATTATCAAGTTTCAGAAGGGAGTGATCCAAAATGGGTAGACCCACCAGTTCCCGAACCAGTTATTCTGCTATGTACGTAGCGCACTGACTCTTCCCGGCGTTTATCTCTTACTGGACCGTTTTTCCTTTTTTTTGCAGGTCACGACGAAAGTACTTTTCGTTCTAACGAGATTTCTCACAAGTGCTGGATGGCTGAGGGCCACGAGCTGTTTTTTGTCAAAGGAAGAGGAAGATCCCTTATGGTAAAAAGTACCCGGAACTTTCAAACACCTCGGGAATAAACTACGAGCCAAATTCAGCTACTGCATCCATTGTAATTGGTACAGATTGTTATTTTACTAACGAAATGGTTTTAGAGCAGTTTGAAAGATTGTTCAAGTTATTGCCATTTAAAAAAGAGTTCAAGAACTGTAAATCTGAAGTTTTAGTTGACAATGCCACCACCCACACTACAAAACTCTATTCACTGAGTGACTTTCCAAAAGGAGAAGGATATCGTTGTCCTGTTGACTACATAGAATGGTCGGACCAGAATAATAAACATCATAGACTCAGTTGTTATTATCTGTCGGACGTGAAAGAAGGATGTTCAAAAGGGTTGTTAGTGATTGCTAAAGAACTCGAGTTCGATGTGAATGAGAGAACAAAACTGCTGGAGTTGAGAGACAAACTGTCTACACACGCCGCATTTAAAACCGTGAGTGTGGACACGGACTTGTTCATTATCGCTGATTTTGCTAAATTAATTTTTGATTTTTTCTGCCTAGATCACCAAATTGGAGATTCTCGCAAATTTCTATGGCATAAAACTAATTTATTTACCAAAATTCCATTGCGAATTAGCGTCGGTGGAAGGTCTGTGGGGTCACATGAAATCTTACGTGAGAAAATACTCGGAAAAAAATTATCAAAAGATGCTTTCATTGATAGGTGAGTCAAGATTCAATTTTGAAGAAAAGGGCATTAACTTGAAACTACACAGACGGTTTTGGCATGCTCTTAAAGCCTATAGAGACGGAAAAACATACCAAGATGTGCTTTCAATGTTTTTTAGTTCTATGTGCAAAGCCTCTGTTATTTCTCATAGAAAGATAACCAACGCAAATCTGAATGATTAATTTTGTTTTGTACATTTGAAAGCTATTTTTGGTACAGTAACTTTTTTTCGTACAGTAATGATAAAAAAGCCAGATATATCAAGTAAAAAAGTTCAAGTAAAAAGACGTGAAACGAAACTGAACCTTTAGGAGGGACACATTTCTTCAGAAAGGTTTTCTAGAGACCCTCCAGAGACCTGACGTGACTCTTATTAGATTCCCCATATTTTTTTACCTGTAATCTGTTACTTTGATTCGGTTTGGACGAAAACTGTGGGAATTATAAAAAAATCACTTGGCCGTTTTCCGTTGGAACGTGCCGTTTTTAAAAGAAAGCCCGCTTATTCCGAAACGAAAAACTTTTCGTAACTTTGTTCTACATTTCAAGGCGAATCTTTTGATGCCAAAATAAAGTGTCTAAGTGCTTCCCCGTCTTAGGAGAAAGAGCCGCAAGCTTGAGGATTAGAACTGAGACCGGTCCCTGTTAGAGGGACTACGAAAATTTTATTTTACGGCAGAAGTCCTTGAAAGACACATTCTTAGGAGCTATTTATGATGGAGCATCCGAAAAAATTGGTTTAAAAAAGTTGTAACGGGTGCGGGAAAAACTGGTGCACTTTTTCGCAAAATTTCGATTTTTTCAGGTTTTCGACCCACCTTGAGTATTTCGCATTTTTCTCCATGAAGATCTGACTTTCTCGAACTAAAAAGGTGATATTTGGAATCAGCATGATTTTCTCTATCAGAATATGTGTGAAAAAGGCGAAAATAAAAACATGTAAATCCTTTGAATTAGCGGCGCCTTATACAGTAATTTCTCCATCAAATTTCTTCTTTTTCTGTATTACCCGAACTTTTTATCAGAGATAAATTTCATGGCCAAATTTATGCAAAACAAAAACAACAACTTTCCCCCGATGATTTTGAAGGATACGGCAAGCGAACATTTTCCTATAATTTGTGTTGACTTTTTAAGAATTAAAACAAGTAATGTTGCTCAAAATGATACACCGATATTTCCGCTAAGATTTCTTTATTGGAAAAGAAAAATAAATGATTCAGGTTTTGTATTTTGTATACCCATAAAAAAAAGTTATTAAAAAAGAATGATCAAGAGCGCGTTCTGAAATAACTGTGTACTTGTTACGTGCGCCATGTTCCGACGAGTAAGCCGGTAAAACATGGCGCACTCAAGTGCCAAACTGGATGTTGAAAAAGTATTCTTCCTCGTTGAAATGCAAACCTCTGACATTTTAGTTCATGCCTTGATTTGTGCATCTATAGTACTGTCAAAATTTATACAAACGAAATGCGTTCTAAAACTATTAGAACGCTAGCAGAATACTTTTTCAACATCCAGTTTGGCACTTGAGTGCGCCAT